GCTGTAAATTAGTTTCACCAAACATGACAAAGTGTTACTCCCTCCCTATTCAAAGAGCTTTCCACAAAAATAAGATGAAGTTATGGTTCCACAAAAAAGAAGTTATCGTTCCAAGAAACAGAAAACAGTTGTTCAATCTGCATGATTTTTTTAAAAAACCCAGCCTGACAATGAAGAAACTTAAGCAACAAGATACTCATTTATACTCACTGATGACTGTAGCCTGAGAAAAGTGGTAGAACTCTATGTTGCTGGGCCTTCCCAGAAGTTAACTTTGGCAGAGCAGATTGGGGGCCTTTGCAGCAGGGATCTGAGAATGCTGTTGACCCAGATAGATGGGGTCAGGCCATCACTCTGCATGGGTGATACGATGCCACCCATGGAATGGGGGGGTCGTAGGTCTGTGCCTTTTGCCGTTGGGGCGACAGGTGCTGTGAGATTTTGCTTTTGGCAGAGTTGCCTAGATGCTGGCTGAGAGGCTGAAACAGTGTAGATGAGAAAAGAGGAGGGCAAGATGGTGGCTGAACCCCAGGCTGTGGTAAAGGCCTAGCTCGTGTCTTTTATGGGTACAGCCCAGGCTGAGGAGAAGGAAATGCCCTACGGTAGCTGGGGTCTTTGTGCATTCTTTCCCCGGTCAGGCTGGCAAGCCCCTAACACAGGTTGGGCCTACAAGCCTGGGCCTGGCAGGGTGGGGAAGTCTGGACACTGAGGGGTGGCCCCCTGGATGGGGCTTGCAGCCAGGGCTTCAGAGGCCAACTTACCAGCCTGCCATGCCACACCTTGAGACATCAATGCTGGGACACCCACACCTAAACTGAAGGTTCCAGGGGCCTGGAGGATAGAGGATTGATGGGCTTTCCTGACCAACGGGTGAGAAGAAAGGGCAGTTCTGGGGACACAGTGACAGCAGACAGGGTGTGGTCAGTAAGAAGAGCGAGGGAAAAGTCCCCTAGGCATTCAGAGCACAGGGAGTAGATGTGCTCCCCCCACTACAGGAGGTGGGGCAGGGGCCTCTAGACATGAGCATGACCCCTGAGGGAGTACCAATGAATGGATTGGGGCGAGAGGGGGCAGGGCAGGAGGGAACCCTGCACAGAAGCAGGTCTGGGGCCACCCCCAGGGTTGTAGAGTAGGTGAGCATTGCTAGTTGGGTTGGGTAAAACCCCTAGTCGGCAGCTGTGATGGCAGGATCTTGGTGGGGAATTCAGGGGGCAGTGGTTGGGACAGGGGAGAACAGGCTCAGTCTGGAAAGATGTATTACTGTCTCTGATTTTTTTTTTAAGATTTTATTTATTTATACATACAGAACTGAAGTGCAGGCATAGGTGTAGAGGCAGAGAGAGGATTCACCAGAAAGGTCTCTGGGTTTTTTCTGTTTTGTTCGTTTTTTGTTTTTTAAAGATTTATTTATTTATGTTAGGGTACAGGCCAGAGGTGCAGGGGCAGTGAGAGGATTCACCAGAGATGGAGTGGGGAACAGAACAGGCAGATCAAGGAAGTACACTGCTGAGGGGAGCAGAGGGTGGGTCAGGAGAGGTCTGCTGCGCCATGTGGTCACCTCCCTGGCAGGAGATCGAACTCACACTGAAGTGGCGTTAGCTTCTTAGTGCTGTGTTTAACCTGCTGCGCCACCGGGGAGGGCCCTGTCTCTGGTTTTAAGGCAGGGAATATACAGCTCTTCCCAAGAGAGGTGCTTTCCAGAACCTAGCGCAGGAAAGGCGGAAAGGAGATACCCCTTGGGGAGAGAGTATGAAGCTCTCTGAGGAAAAAGGCCAGGTGAGGCCACAGAGGAGCGCCTCACATGCAAAGCCAGGGTAGAATGACCTGGAGGCAGGTATTGCCCTGTAGGTTTCTGTCTTCTCAGGCTGCCTCAGCCCTGTGGGTCAGTGCCTTGAGCAAGCCTTATCTACTTCCTCCTGGCCTGAGGGTGGGACATGATCTCTGATCCTGTGACACACTGTGGTTCCCTCCATCTGTGAGTCTTCTGCTCACCCGACCAGGGGTACAAACGATCTTCCCATCCTGGGATGGGGCACCAAGGTGCATGACAGATGACTGGCCCTGAAGGCACATGCAGCCCCTATTATTTGCCGGGAAGAGAAGCCCTGTGATTCCCTGTGACTTTTCCACTCACCGTGTCTAGAGTCTAAGCAGCATACGCATGAGATGGTCCAAAGCCCCTATTGTGAGAGCTGGAACAAACCTCCACAAGTTGTCCACAGAGCTAATGCCCTGTCTGTGCAAGTCACAGGGGGAGCCTACCTGAGACCTTGACTCAGCCTGAGCATGCATGTGTTCATATGAAAATGCCATGCGTGCACACAATCTCACATTCAGGTATTCCTTTCATAAAAGTGTGCACTTGAACATGCGTGAGGGTGTGTTCATGAGTGTGTAGCAAGCTTGTGTCCCTGTATACATGTTGTGGGCTCATACACTGTGCTCACAAGCACGCATGTGTGTGCACATGTATTCATTTGTGTGTCTGTGATTTAAGGTATATGTCTATGATTGGGCTTCTACCCCTCGCATCTGGCTTGGAAGTACAAAAATGATTCATTCACCTTTTGATAATGCAGAAAAGGGAGCAAGATGTAATAAGATGCACACTGAGGGAACCACTTCCATTCAGATTCTACAGTTTTGTTTTTTTTTTTAAACAGCTTTATTAGATGCCTTTGACACACTATAAATGTACTTAAAGTGTGTGGTTTGATGAGCTGTGCTGTATGCAAACACCCAAGCTTATACTACGACAGCCAAAACAGTGAACACATCCATCACCCCAAAGTCTCGGGCTCCTTTATCATACTGTTCTGCTTCCCTCTCCCAGGCAGACTGTGATCAGCATTCTGTCTAGAGATTGGTTCCCATTTTGTAGGATTTTCATACATGGACTCCTACAGTACGGACTCTTTAAAACTTTACTAAAGTGAAATTCACCCCAATAAAACTTAACATTTTAAAGTGGTATTCAGTGGCATATAGTACATTCACTATATTGTACAACTACCACCCCCATGAGCAGTCACTTCTGTCCCCCTAGACTTGACAACCACTCATTTGCTTTCTGTTTCTGCATTTGCCTATTCTGGACATTTCCTTTAAATGAGAGGTTATGCTATGTAGCTTTTTGTGTGTCTGGCCTCTCTTCACTCTACATATTTTTGAGGTTCTCCTTTTCGTGGTTGAGTACTATTCCACAGTGTGGATGGCCCACCTTGTGTTTACCCCCTTGTCTTTTTTGGACCTTTAGGTTGTTTTCACCTTTTGGCAGTTGTGACTCATGATCCCATGAACCCATGTACAAGACTCCAGTCCTCATTTTTAATCTTTTTATCTGTCTACAAGCAGAAATGCTGGCTCTGCGTTTTTGTTTTTTTTTTCTTTTTTTCTTTTTTTCCTAGCTTCATTTACTCCGTACACAGATTCTGGATTGTCCCATGCTGTTCGGTGCTGTTCCAAGAACCAGTAGTCCCTTCTCACAACCGAGTAGTGTTTTGCTGTGTAGCCAGTTTGATTATACCCTGGGGTTGCTTCCAGTTGGGGGCTCTTAAAAACAATGCTAAGAACTTTCATGTATAATCTCTGTGCAGATATCTGATTCACTTCTCGAAAGTGGCTCTTAGGAGTGGAACCACTTGCTGGGTCACATGCTGGTCATATAAATAACGTTTAAAGGAACTGCCAAAATGCTTATGCTACTATAACCAAAGCAGTTGCAGACCATATGCAAATGAGTGAACACAGTTACATACCAATAAAACTTTATTTACCAAAGCATGTGGCAGGTCTGCTATAGTCTCCTCCCTCCTTTTGCCCTTGTGGTAAACCAACTCGTCTTCATTCTTCAGAAACAAATACATATTTAGTTGTTTATTTTTACAGTGTTTGCTTTCTTTTCTCACGTGTGTACCCCATAGAATTTCCACCACCAGTTCACCTGTGCACGGTCACCATAGACCCTGTGTTCTTCCCGCCCTTGCCCCAGTCTCTTTCCCTCCCCCTTCCCTGCAGGCCTCCCATTTGTAGTTGTCTTTTTATTGTTGTTTGGTTTTGTTGTGTTTTATATTATTATTATTCCCCCTCCTTGGTCCCTCATTTTGTTCCCCAATATTCCTCTAAGTGAAATCATCTGCTATTTTTCCTTCTGGCTTACTTCACTGAGCATCAAATGCATATTTTTAATAAGTGTTTCATTTTGGAATAAGTTCAGAAAATTTGCAGACACAGTAGAATCTCCTGCCCTCTCCCCAGCTTCCCCAGTTATGAGCACCTTACCTCATCAGGGCATATCTGAACAAAAAATAGAAAAATATAAGAAATGGACATCAGCTATTAACCAGTTCCTGATACTATTCAGCAGCCCCAGTTCTTCCATTGTGTTCTCTCGCTGGCCAAGGACCCATTTCAGGAAACCCCATCGCACTTACGTCCCTCAATCTCCTCAGATTGTGGTGGTCTTGGGCAGGTGGGGATCTGGCTGGGCACCTGGGGGGTGTTCTTGTGATATTAGGATGGAGTTATGGATTCTACAAAGGAATGTTCTCCAAGCAGGTCTGTTGAACAAGTTTTGAGAGCTCTCCTTGACTTCATCCCCCTTGGTGGGGTTTCAGGGGCACTGGGATTTTGGGGTAACGTGGGCCCATGGAGCCAGGCTGTCATCTGCTTTACTCTGGGTGGAAAGGGACAGGAACTATGATGAAGCAAACTCTAGGGCAAAGATTTGATCTTGAGGTGGAGGGGCGGGTGGTGCCATTTTCTAGGCACCATGATCCTTGGATCTGTGGTCACATTTAAGTACAGATGGCAGCCCTTCTATACTTAGGACTTTTCAGAAAAGTCCTCTTTTGGGCACGGGACTCAAATCATTGATCTTAAGCTCTCCAACCCAAAGAGGGGTAGCGGGGATGAGTGTCTAATCCTCCCATCATCACCACCTCTCTGACCATACACCCCTCTCCTTCCAGCTCCAGGATACGTGCCCCGAGCCTGGGAGGCATGCTGAATCTAGGAGGCTGGCAAGATGAGTGTGAACGAGGCGGGCAGCGCTGGCTGCCAAGGGCAGGCGGCCTACCACCTGCGCATCTACCCGCAGCTGGCCACCAGCGAGAGCCAGGCCTCATGCCGCGTGATGGCCACCAAAGACAGCACCACATCAGACGTCATCCAGGACGCCATCACCAGCCTGCATCTGGATGGTACCAAGCGTTATGTGCTGGTGGAGGTCAAGGAGACTGGTGGGGAGGAGTGGGTGCTGGACGCCAACGACTCACCCGTGCACCGTGTGCTGCTGTGGCCACGGCGGGCCCAAGATGAGCACCCGCAGGAGGACGGCTACTACTTCCTGCTGCAAGAGCGAGAAGCAGACGGGACCATCAAGTACGTGCACATGCAGCTGGTGGCCCAGGCCTCTGCTGCCCGGCGCTTGGTAGAACGAGGGCTCCTGCCCCGGCAGCAGGCCGACTACGATGACCTGTGCAACCTCCCTGAGTTGACTGAGGCCAACCTCTTGAAGAACCTGAAGCACCGCTTCCTGCAGCAGAAGATTTACACCTACGCGGGCAGCATCCTTGTGGCTGTCAACCCCTTTAAGTTCCTGCCTATCTACAACCCCAAGTACGTGAAGATGTACGAGAACCAGCAGCTGGGCAAGCTAGAGCCACACGTGTTCGCGCTGGCTGACGTGGCCTACTATGCCATGCTGCGCAAGCATGTCAACCAGTGCATCGTCATCTCCGGGGAGAGCGGCTCCGGCAAGACACAGAGCACCAACTTCCTGATCCACTGCCTCACCGCCCTGAGCCAGAAAGGCTATGCCAGTGGTGTGGAGAGGACCATCCTGGGTGCTGGCCCAGTGCTGGAGGTGAGCAAGCGGGCAGTGGGAGGGGTCGGCCAGCCTGGGCGAGTGAATTTCATTAGTTTCAGGCACGGCCAGGCAACCGCCATGGAGAGAGTATGATTCAGAGCCCCCTTGAATCATGAGGGGGTGCTAAACCCATCCTAAGCTGAAAATGCACTGAGTGAAAAATGCATTTAATTCATCCAACCCATCACACATCATAGCTCGACCTAGCTGACTGTAAACGTGCTCAGAAGATTGATGTCAGTTTCCAGTTGGGCAAAGTCCTCTAACACAAAGTTTACCTTATACCAAACAGTAGATTGAATTCACTGAACAGTAGATTGAACTCATGGATTGAATACAGTACCCCATAAAGTGTGGGTCGTTTCCCCCACTTGTAGGGCTGACGGAGAGAGGTGGGGCGTGCCGCCTGCTGCCCAGCATCACTCACCTGGGAAAAGATCAAAATTTGACGTAGAGCTCCTACCGAATGTGCATTGCTTTCATACCACCATAAAGTGGAGTGATCCTAAGTTGAACCACCGTAAATCTGGGACTGTGGGGGGCAGTGCCAGGGTCAGTTGAGAGGCTGTGGAGCGAAAAGGAGCTTCAGTTGTGTTTTCACGGGAATATCGGCAAGGCTAGGTAAGCAGGTTTAAGATTAGCTGGTTGGAATAATTTCATGGCTCTGGGGTACAGAAGCTGCCTTGGTTAGGTAGTCACTGGCCGGGGATTGGGCATGAGGTATAGTTGTGAATGTGGTACAGGGTGTGGGCGCTGCCTGTGTTGGTTTTCGTGTGGCAGCTGTGCTCATAGAAATTAACTCACCTGGGAGGCGCAGGTCCTCCAGGGTCAGCCTTGCCCCAGGTACAGGATATAGGATACAGGAGTTCCTTGTTTTGTGGCATTTTGCTTTATTTCACTTCACAGGTGTTTGGGTTTTTATAAGTTGAAGGTTTGTGCAACCTTGCATCAAGCAAGTCTGTCAACGCTGTTTTTCCAACAGCATGTGTTCCCTTTGTGTCTCTATCACATTTAATTAAGGCTCATACATTTTTTTAGACACAATGCTATTGCACACTTAATGGACTGTGGTACAGTGTAAATAGATCTTTCATCTGCACTGGGAAACAAAAAAATGTAGTGTGTCTCGCTTTATGGAGTTATTTACTTTATGGAGGTGGTCTGGAACCCAGCTGCAGTGTGTCTGAGATATGCCCGTATTGAAAACAAAGAGGCCTGGTTGACTCTCTTGATGCCTGGTGGGGGCAGGGGAATGGCAGTCTGTACTGAGTCCAGCAGAAAGGAAGGTGTCCAAACGGAGCCTTTCAAGGAGCCCTTCACAGTGAGCTTCTGGGGCTCGGGGCCCGAGGTGGGTGGGAAGCAATAGGGGAGGTCATCCCTGTTGGCTACTCTCCATGGAAACATCGCTCTGTCCCTGGGGGAGCACCCCTCACTCTCTGGTCTCTGGAAAAGACCCATCCACTTCTCAGGACACAGTGTAACCATCAGCCCCCGGCATTGCCCCAGCAAGGTGTGGGCTTGGGGTCTGTACCTCTCTGGCTTCGGACCCTGGTACTCTGGGTTTTATCCTTTTAAAAACATTTCAATTTAACATTAATTCAGTCTTATGAAATATAGTGATGTAAATTGAGGAGGTTTAGATTTGTATCTAAATGTATTGGACGGCTAAGAACTCCATGTAATGCTCCTCCAGCTTACATTTAATTGATGAGTCAGTGCTGGCACCTTGTTGTTCGCCGAAGTTCATGGTCTGTACCAGGGCTCTTGCTTGATGGTGTGCGTTCTTTGGGTGTAGTAACATAGCTACTCATGGCATCATACAGAGCAGTTTCACTGCCATAAAAGTCCCCTGGGCTTCTTTTGTTCATCCTCCTCCCCCAGTCTCTGGGAGCTTCTGAATTTTTTTTTTAATAGATTTTATTTTTACATAGAAGGACTGGGGTATAGGCCAGAGGTGCGGGGGGTAAATGGATTCACCAGAGACAGAATGGGGAGCAGTACATGTGGATCTACTGAAATACACTGCTGAGGGGAGCAGCGAATCAGACAGGAGAGTCTGCTGTGCCTTGTGGGTCACCCCCTGGCTGGGGATTGAACTTGCTGCAGTGGCTGCCAATAGCTTAATAGTACTAAGGCTTAGCCCCTTGCGCCACCGAAGAGGTCCCAACTTCTGGTGTTTTACTGATCTTATATGAGCTTTTCCAAAATGTTGTATAGCTGAAATCATACCTGCATTGGTCTTTTCAAATCAGTTTCTTTCACTCAGCAGCATGCATTGAAGATGCGCTGGCTTTTCCTGGCTCGAAGCCTCATTTGGTCTGTAACTGAGTAGCAGCCGCTGTCTGGATGTGCGGCCCATCTGTCCACAGGACTCCACACTTTCCCTTCTCAGAGCCTGACTTCCTGCCTGCCCTCCACCCCAGGGGTTCAATGCAGCCACCTCAGGGTGCATTGAATTCCCTGAAATTATATGTAGGCTGCGCCTGCCGAATACCTTCCTTTCAGTTCCTCTTCCTTTCAGAGGATCTCAGCTCATCACAAGAAATTAACTGGGGTTGTGGGCCCTGGCCCTGGGCCTACATATGGAGCCTCTTTCTGTCTTCTCCTGTATTTGTAACATAAAGATTTGTTTTCCTTTTTGGCACAAATGTTTGAAAATTTTCTGTATATTCTGGCCACAGAAAGTCCTATTTTCTCTTTGGAGCTGTAACCCTGAGTTTATTCTGATGGACCCCTCATTTTGCAAATATTCTCTGAGCATATGTGCTGTATGCCAGGTGCCTTTCTAGGGCCTGGGCTGTGCAGCGCAAAGGCCTAATCAGGTGATTGGGAGCCCTGCCATGAAATAAACAGGAGGCCTCAAATGTGAACTAAGAGCCAAGGGAAGGGCAGGTAGACTGGAGGAAGGAACCAGGCGCCAGGGCACAGAAGAGAAGTGCACAGCATCAAGGAGGGCCAGGCCAGTGCAAAGGCCTTGTCTGGCCTGTTGGACAGTAGAAAAGGGATCTGAAGGGCTCAGGAGCCGCTGGGTAGGAAGTGAGGACAGGAAGGTGATGAGCAGATCATTTGGGGGCTGGGGTGCTGCCAGGTTCTGTGTGGTCAGGGAACTGTGCAGCGCGGTGTCCTGGTGTCTGCCCAGTCCCTTCCCAGCTCTGCAGCTCAGCTTCGGTGAAGCTGCTGAAGGTCCCAGCAGTGCCCATGTGAGCAGCCGCCATGCCAGACCGGTCACCCCTCATGGAAGCAGGCAGGCAGGTGAATGTGCCCCCAGGTCTCAACTCCACACAGAGAGGCAGGATTGGCAGGCAGAAGAGTGTCTTTCTGGCTGAAGACCGTCAAGCTTCTGGATGGTGTTCCTGGGGGCGGCCGTAACAAGTGGCCACAAGTTGGGGCCTAGAAAACACAGGAACTTAGCCTCAGTTCTAGAGACCAGAAATCTGATAAAGGTTTCCCTCGCTTGCTGACCGTAGAACATTTGGTAGGTTGCTTTTTGGATCTGGGAACACTATATTGTTAATTTAATAAATAAAATCGATGTTTTTGAGAAATCCCATTGATAACCCCAAAATAACCCACCAAATCATTCTACTTGCCCAAAGCCAGGGAGGCTGGTATTCAGGTGTAGCAGGGTCATGCTCCCTCCGAAAGCTCCAGGGGAGTCCCTGGGCACTGGAGGCATAAAGGCTCTGACTGTATCGCCCCGGCTCTGCCACCTGGTCACAGGGCCTTCTCTTACAAAGACACCTGTCCTGGGGGATGGGGCTCCTGTCATCCTGGGTGATCTCAAGATCTCAACTAGTCATGTCTACAGAGGACTCACTGCCAAATTAGGTGACATTTTCAGGTTCCAGGGGACAAGGATGTGTCTTTGAGGGACACGAATCAACAGCTTCTGTCAAGTGACAGCTGGTAGTGTCCAGTGCCCTCTTGCTCAAGGCTGTCCCAGCTCGGCCTTATCCTGGTGGAGTGTGTGATTTCTCCCTCTCAACTCCATGCTCCTCCCCGCAGTTACCCTAAGGGATTCTGGCACATTCTTCAAGGGTTGTTAGTCACTGTCCATGGTAGGCGTGTGCAGTGCGCACCCATGAATCAGATGCCTGACCTTGCCTGGCTGCCTCCCTCAAGCACCACGGCAGCAAGACTGAATTTCCCCAGCAGTTAGCAGCTGCTGGAGGGTGGTGCCCGAGTCTGCTTCCAACACAGGCGTGAGCCAACCCACGTAACGGCCATAAATGTGCTTCCTGGGGTGACTGGAAAGGGAGGTTGTTTTAATTTAGAGCTGTGTTTTCTGGCCACTGCACATCTGAAGTTCGGTTCGTGTCATCCCCTGTGGTTGCAGTACCTGCAAGGCACTGAGCAGCACCCCTGGATCCCACTCACCAAATGGCAGCAGGACCCCTCCCCCTGATTCTTGGCAACCAAATACACCCCCAGACATCACCACAGACTGATCTCACAGGACCCAGCCACTATTTTTTTCAGGTGCTGATCAGTTAGGAAATATTCCACAAGCAAATCCCAGCTATCCCGGGCCAACCTAAGACTTACTTTCTAACAATAGGAATAATTAGCTATGGTGCCTTCAGGCCATCTAGGTGTCAGGCTTTGGGGACCACAAGGTTGGGGGTGCGGGCTCATAACAACAGGGATAGATTCTCTCCAAGTCCTGGAGATTGGAGATCAGAAGGCCAAAAATCAAGATTTGGTCAGGTTGCCCTTTTTGGAAGCTTCAGGCACGTGTTCATCCAGGCTCTCCCAGGTTTATGGGGGCTGCTGGTAGTCCTTGGCATCCCCAGGGTTGTAGTTACATTGCCCCAACCTCAGTCCCCGTCTCCCTTTCTGTCTGTGTCTCATAGCTCCATTTCTTTTCTCTTATAAGGACACTTGGTTGCTTTTAGGCCTTACCCTTATCCAGAATGACCTCACTCAGGGTCCTACCTTAGTCACATCTGAATTAGGCTCCATTCACAGGTTCCAGACCAGGAAGTAGACTTATAGTT